TTGTTTGATTTTTTGTTCTTAATAATTTTATGAATTAAAAAATTACATGAATTTTAACTATTATTGAAATAATTTTTTCATTATTTTATTGATTTTTAGTTGTTTTTTTTTCTCAATCTTGTTATTCAATTTCAATTAAATGTGTAGGATTAATTTTAATTTTAATTTTTAATTGTTTGTAAATTTTTAATAACTTATTATAAATTTATGATTAAAAATATTATCATGTAGAAAATAAAATTTTTATAAGAAATTAATTATGCTCAATTGCTTAATTATTAGAAGAAGTTGAATAAAATCAATTGACTTGTAACATATATGATGTGTATTTGCAAGTTTAGAAATTTTGGGTAGTCTCTTGTATTGGAGAGATGCTGCTGAATTTTTTAAAAAAATCAGAATTGTTTATTTTTTTTTATTCATTTCTTTGTATAGAAGCTTAGGGAAAAGTCTATTGTATGTTGCAAAGATAGGATTGCTGCTAGTTTTTCTAGCAGCGATGCCGATAATCATGAGTTATTAGGTGTCAACCAAGAACAGACACTTGAGGCCAGACATTTACTTATGATGTAGGCTCGTCGAATGCGATGTCGCAACGTTGAGGGGTGTCCCTTCACAACGGGATTCGTTTACCAATTAATACGAGGTCTGGTGAAAGGATGTCTTTTCAATGTAAGTTTGTTTAGCTTTCACAATGACATGTTTAATAATTTTTGAAATATATATATATATATATATATATATATATCATTTAAATAATATCAAACATTAAGGCTGCTAGAAAAATAATATCAACCTTTAAATCATCGATGGAAATTTCATTGCTTCGACGAAGTTAGGTTTCCAGACATCTTGAATGGAAACTGTATGTCGATACATGGTTTTCAAGGTTCGTGTTAACTTAAATATATTTTTATGTTAATTTGGACCAATTATTAAAATTACTAAAAATTTTCTTTTAATAATTTTTATAGGAAAGAGCTAATGATAATATTGCAATGAGAGTTTTGGAGAATCATGCAGCAATTAGGTAAAATTGAATATAGGATAATTTTTTTTAATTCTTAATATTAAAATTTTATTTTTTATTTACTAATATATCATTAATTTGTACCATATAGGTTGCATGATTTTGGATACAAGGCATAAAAATACATAACAATATGTAAAAGAAAGAGAACTTCCAAACTGGAATGACATGGCGGTCTGGAAGCATTGCAGACCATAATACATCTCTCTCAAGGTGAAATACATTTAGCATATGATGCTCGCGCATTTCACTCAATGATCACATACCGGATAATCAGAACAGGCGTGTTCACGATTCCATTATCATGCACGCTAACAACTCTGTTCCGTTTGTTTTGCATGCAAAATGGATATTATGATTTTTTTTATTATATCCATTTTTTAGTTTGTTTTTACAAACATATTTAACTAACAATATTCTTTTATTACAGGCTATAATTCTTGGATGCAAGTCAAGACTGATAAAGCTTTTTATTGAAATACACGTGTAGAGTGATGATTGAAAAAAATGGAGGCAACACTTCGTTGATAGCCGAGCTCAGCACTTTGTTGTATATTGATTTTCAATCATTTTTTCTTAAGTTATTATTTTCTTGAATTTGATGAATTTTTTTCCATTATACATATAACAGTCAGTTGAATGAGAGATATGGAAACAATCCTTTGACCCGTCCGGATATCAATTCAGATTTGTGATTGAATGCAGGATCATCTAATGGATCCAATAAAAAATCGGTAATACAGTCTCTCTAATGCTATAGCCAAGAACTTGCGAACAACTTGTAGTGCTTTAATAATTAGATGCTCGCAATCGATTCTAAGCGTTCAAATTCTGGGGTTTGTGGTGATGCTAAACCAACGAGTATAGGATCAGATGACACATCTTATTGATAAATATAAATGACTCACTACTAATTATAAATAACTTTACCGATTGGTAATAGAGATAAGATCATAGATGGGTGGTTCGTGTGCACCCCCTAATTATCCTTACAGTCTTGGCGATAACCAACCTCCTCCTCCAGCGTCGCCTCTATTTTAGAGTTATTGTATTTGAATGTATAGATATTTAAATTTAAAATAAGTATTTGATTTTTATACTAATTTATTTTAAAATTATAAAATAAATTTATTTTAATTATTTTTCTACTTCTGTTCAATACATTTTTTATAAAATATATTTTTAAAATATTATTTACAGGGTTACTGACGGAACTATACCGTCAATTTATTCCAAAAAATTAGAAAAGAATTACACAAATGTTATTATTAATAGGGCTACCGATGGAACTAGACCATCGGTATATTATAGAGAGTTGGAAAAAAATTACTATAAATATCACTGCTATTATTAAAGCACTAATGAAATTATAGATAGTATTCTATCAATAATGAATTATATTTAATGATGGATATACCAATAAAATAAAGAGGATAATTTTTTTTTTTTTGTGTCTTGTCTGTTTATAAATTCATTGATATTTTTATTATTAACAGATTCACTGATAGTACATAAATTATCAACCAAAGTATTTTTGACGGACCGTTTCTATTTATGATTTTATGGTCACACACATAGTGGAATCAAGATTATTACTTTATATATAAAATGTTCTTGAATTTAGACTATGCTTTCAATGTTCCTAGTGATCAGCTACCTGATTGGCTTCTCTAAAAACATGAGTATAGCTGGCTGATTTCAAAAGACTTAAGTAACATAGTTATAGATTAAAAACACTACATTAGAATCTCTCAAAATCCTCCCAAACCAGATAAACCAGGCTTCCCAAGAGATGAGCCATGAATATTCCAGTTTTGGGTACCTGCTGCCGGCTTCTCTCAATCTACTACCCCTCTATTTCTGACTAGATTACTCTGACACTTTTTTTTTGGTGAAATCAAGAATAGATATATAATAAAAAGAGAAAACATGAGCAGAGATTTAGCTACATGGATTACTCTGACACTTTATCCCATATGAGTTTCTATCCAAATCAATAGCCATGTAAACAAAATGATAATCTATATTCGTATGGAACCCATAAAGCAACTCTGTGAAGGCTGAGTTTTCTTTAGCAGATATCCTATTAATGTATTGTCCACTCACTCAAACAAAATTATGAAATTCATAAATAATTAATTATCACGATGAATTTCATTTTTATACAAGTGTATTAAAATAAATAATAAAAATAAAAATAATATGAACAACTCGAGTCAAATTTTAAAATTTTAATTATACAAATATTCATCTAACTAGTTATTCAAATTGTATGTTGGAATTGTTTAATACTTAGAATTAGCTTCTTTTTCTTTTTTATAGGGTTAGTTTTTTTAGTTAGTTTATTATATATTTTTTTAATGATACTTACAAAATCTTAATATATAATATTCTATAATAAAAAATAAATAAAAAAACAGATGTTGTACTTTCCCATGTAATAATGAAGATGACTAAAGAAAGGATTGGGAGAATGTTTAAACTAGGGGTGATCATTTTCAGTTCGGTTCGATTTTTATAAAAAAAAAAGTAACCAAACTGAAAAAAAAAATTGAAAAAAAACCCGAAACCGGGTCAAACCGACTGGTTTCGGTTCGGTTCGGTTCGGTTTTTTAGGGGAAAAACTGGTTCAAATCGGTTTGGCTCGGTTTTTCCGGTTTGGCTCGGTTTTTCTCGGTTTTGGCTCGGTTTTTCCGGTTTGGCTCGGTTTTGGCTCGGTTTGGCTCGGTTTTTTTCCGGTTTTGGTTCGGTTCGGTTTTTCGGTTTTTTTGTTATAAAACCGAACCGAACCGGCTGGTTTTTTCAAAATTTTAATCGGTTTAATCGGTTTTTTTTTTCAGTTCGGTTTTTTCAGTTATTTTTTTTCCAGTTTTCTCAATTTAATCAATTTTTCGGTTTTTTTACTCACCCCTAGTTTCAACAAGATGTCAACAGCTACCTTAACATCGGCATCTTATATTTGCTTGTTCTACGCGATACATTAAAAGAAGTGTGGAACACAGAACGAAATTGTGCCGATTGTCTCGTTCTATCTACTTTCAGTAGCACATATTTAACTCTCTCGTGTAGTCATGTGTGATAAAAGCAAGGTTATACGTACGTAGTAAGGAATTTTTCATTGCATTGGCTACCCAATCTAATTGGAAAGTAGGCGATACCATGCTAAGATCATTGCTATTGCTCTTCGAATTATATTTCAGCGTTTCATTTTCCCTTTTCTTTTCTTTTTTCAAACTCAAGATCCAATCCAATTTGAGCTCTACAACAGAGATAGAATTTCCTCACCTGTGTTTTTCAGAATTTGAATCTGATAAATCAAAATAAAAAGGTCGAATTATTAACCACTCGGCCGCCCTGTTAGGGGCATGTATCTCAGAACTCTAGTCTACACATACACATCTGTCAACTCAGTGACTACCAGGCGTAATTTCTCAATTTTATTGTGGAGCTTCACTTTATCCGTTGTACTGTTCTTTCTGGCATCTTCTGATTAAATCTAGACTTGCTTTAGGACTGATGACTCAAAAGATGTACGAACAAATTATTATTGATTCCTCTGAGTTCTGTCAAGAAAAAGTGTTCCCTTAGGGCCTATGTGTTTTGGCAATGGATCCAAAGAAATCCAATAAAACGGTGTTTTGCTTTCTGAAGAGATATTTGAAATCGACAACAAGAATCTAGAAAGGGTATAAAAATGGTGACATTTCGGTCCAGAAAAAAATGCACTCATTGTAATTGCTATTTACTCAAAAAAAAAAAAAACCTCTAAGTTTCATGTCTAATGGAATCATTCTCTAAAATAAATTTTTTTAGAAAATATTATAAATTATATTATAAAATTTTATTTAATAATTTAAATTATTATATTAAAATTATTTAATATGGTATTAATATTTTATTAATTAAATAATTATAAATTTGAATCACAACTATATTAAAAAATAATATAAATTATATTTTAAGATTTTAACTGTAAAATTCTCTAAAAAAATTAAGCTACAACTTCCAAGCATACGTGTGGCATGTATATAACATGACCCACTATAATCTACGAAGCACACATTTATAAATGAAAGTTCGTGAACTGTTCTATAATAACATTACTGCTAACTATTAGAAATCCAAAGTAATTACTGCACCATGTTTCCGAAAGGCCTTTCTTCCATGAAACAAATTACATTCCCTCCTGCCCTGCAGAAAAACCAATCCAAACTTTGTTAATCTCCATTATCATCATATATATGTTTTCTTTCTTTCTTTTGTTTTTTTTTTCCTAATTAAAAAAATTGCAATCAGAATTAACCTTTGAATTTGGTCACCAACCGGAGCACTACTTGAAAAAAGAAAAAAAAAATGCCATTCTAGATTGGGGTTGAAGCTTTTATTGGCATGCATATGAAGAATGAGTTTACCATACAGCGGTGGAGAGTGTCTCTTGTGGTGGGGCTTCTTGCCAATAAATAAATTAAAAAGGTGGTGAGACTACGAATATGTACAGTGTCCCTCTAATAAAGGTTGCCACAAATTTCTGCTTGCCTTTTTTATTTCTCCAAGGCGTTTTTTTCCAATCTAGCATAGTTTCTTACAAAAAAAAACAGAGACAATAATTGACTGTGCTGTTTTATAAAACCACAGTTTCACCTGCAATTTTTAAAAAGTCGCAGGTTGGAACTATGATATTTCCGGTTGTGTTATTTTTCCAAAAAAGAAATTGTCAATGTTAGTTTGGCAAAAAAAAACAAATTATGCTAATTTAAAGAAAAAATCTGCCCTAAGCTAGCTTGTGTTTGTTTGGAGTTTTGTATTATAATAATTGTCTCAATATTTCAAAACAGGATGCCTTATTATAGTAGCAATTATATAAATTAATTGTTCGTACTGTTCAAATTAGTTTTTAAGTATATTTGATATTTTACTTGAATTCTTCATCTGGGAGGGGAAAAGTATCGTAGATATACTAGAAGATATGTATGATTTTCAAGTATAAAAAGAAAAGGAGTGATGCTAAATTCACTAACAATCTTATTATTCCCCCGATCGAATTCTGATTTTTGTAAAATGATTAATTTACTCTTTTAATTAATATTGGCATTAAGAGGTTAGAGTAATAATTTTTTTAAGAAAAATTTGCGAGAATAACAGATTTTTTAGTGAATTTAGGAGAGAAGAAAATAGAAAGTAGGGGGCTACGATGCTTGGCTTAACACGTTTACCCCAAAGGTGACATTTTCGATTTGTAATGATGCGCCTAGCTAGAAACCACAAAGAACTAGGAGAGGTATTGTCAATGCATTGATCCTACCATGATGCTTATCCATGAGTCCCATTTTTATATTAAAAAAAAAAAGAAAAATGAGAGAGCACTGCATAATCTCTTGATATTCATATCCCAGAATTATTTTGTGGATGCATGGCCAAACAGAAAAGACATTTCGTTAGAGCATCCTAAGACAAGCAGCTCCCGTGACTCTGGCAGGTATATGTGTCGGGAAAAAAATAAAGAGGAAATAAAAACAGGTAAAAGGAAATAAAAACAAAAGGACAAGAAAAGAAACAAAACCCCATGTATGGACTCCCATCTCATGACTGCTCCCCTCATGCAAAGAAATTAGCTGGCCAGCAGACGCCCAATATATATAAATATAATAGAGAGAAGAAATTCTTAACAAAACCCAAAAAGAAGGTAAAAACATCGAGAACACATTTACCAATGGAATCAGGAAATTTTGCTTTTTAATCATAAGGATTCTAATCATTAAAAATGTCACAGGACTGTAGAAGAGGGTTTAGTTCATGTACCGATACTTGTCATCTAGCATTTTTTCTTCTTCACTGGAAACTCCCATTTCCTCCGAAAGATTGGCTTGTCGGCGCCGCAGAAATACTAGTATTGTGCCTCTCTAAATCCAAGGAGGAGTCACCCATATCCATGCCATGATGCTGATGTTGTAGCTGCTGCTGTTTTTCTCTTTGTGAAAACCCTGATGATCCACTCATGCTTCTCACTTTTTGAGGACCAACACCAAGAAAGTCTCTTGTCAGTCTATCAGATCCACCGATGTTGCTCGCATTGAGACCTTGGTGCAACTTTGCTTCATCCATATTAATATTGCCAAAATTTGGGACATGGTGTTGCTTTTCTTGCTCCAGACTAGTCCTATTTGCAGTATATCCACCGTAGGGGTTTTCTTGGGCATGTCCAGAACCAAAAATGGAGGGATTCCCAGGAGCAAATGAGTTCATTAGTTCATGAAGATTATTCTCGTTGTCGCTGAGCATGCCACCAAAGTTCCCACCAACTAGCGCCCTGTCTGATTTGGTTCCACTTGAAGAAGAGCTAGCAAAACTTCTTAGCAATGAGGCACTATTGTTGCTTGAAGTGGAACCCATTTGAGCAGCCTTTTGAAGCAGCGCAGTAGCAGACATGTGAGAGACCATGTTATCATTCTGAACCGAAGAGCTAAAGAGAGAAGGAACACCAGAGGTCATTTGATTACCCCTTACATTGTTTGAGAAGTTATTAGTCTCTTCACTCCCACTACCAACACCATTTTGGTTATTGAAATGATCGGATATTAGCAATCCTGAAGTTGGTAAGTTGCTGTTGGAATTGTTTGCGTTGTTACTGTTTGTGGTGCTACTATTGGAAAGAAAGCTAAGGTTGAATAGATTGCCAGCAGAGGGAGGGTTGCTTGTGGTGTTGTGAATTTCAGCAAATTGCATCAGTCCATGATGAAATGGCTTATTTTGCAACAACTCTTGCTGAGATTGGTTTTCATCGTGATAATTCTGGCTTGTTTCTTGCATGAAGAAGGCAGGTGAAGGCATTTGCTGTGGAGGTCGAAATGAAGATGATCCAATTGATGGAGGGAGAAGATGATCAAATTGTCCAGTCCGGACACCACCACCAAATCGTAAGACGTCAGTAGACTGGTTACTGTGGTCTTGTAATGAAGAAATTTGAGTACCTACTTGAGATAAGCCTAAGGTCATGTTGCTACTTCCATACAGATGGCTTCCAATTGTGTTCAAGTTGGTAGGAGGGTTTCTTGCACTTTCTTGAGCCAGCGCATCACAGAATGCCCTGTGAGTGATAAAGCTGTCACGTCTGCAACAATTATTATGTATAGAAGCCATTAGATCACCTCATAGAGACGGTAAAAGTACACATTGACGAAAGGAAAGTTGAAAACAAATATAACAGGAATTTATGTCTGCTAGCTCTACGACATCAAATTATGCAATCTTGAAAAATATATAGTTTTAGATATGAATGATTGTGAAATATGATGCCATCTACGTCAAGGAACATGTGCATGTCCTCTACTGTTATAGAAACTATGATAACATATACGATTCTAAAACGTTTATATAGTTAATCCAGATTATAAAGCCACTAAAGAAAATGATTCCCATTTCCTTGACTGATGATGGCGTATGAAGATTTCACGAGTTCCTGCCATTTTTCTTGGCTTCCCCCTTTTATTGAAGAGTCTCATCTTCAGTAAAAGGAGCCCGAATTGTTTATTTCCCCCAACAATACAATGGTAATGGCTGCGTAGCTCCTGTACTTACAATAATTAATGTCACCTCAAAATAATAATTAGGGTTCCATTTTCCCTGTTAAAAAAAAAAAAGATATGTGGAAAAATCGGTACATAATCTTTTGTGTTTTTTTGGCAAAAGGATGAAGCATGCGGGAGAGGATAAAGAGAGAGATTTAGGATGGACGAATCATCAATAATGGATGACTTGAGTGAGTAAAAAAGGAAGAGTGTAGAGAAGAAAGTGAAAGAAAGTTCAACTATAATTTCTAACATAGGGTAGTAATTATGGAGGGGTGGGTGAAAGAGGTTTGGGCAGAAACCGAATATTATTAACCAATCAACCATGTAATACCATCTCAAGAACTGGCTCTTCAATAAATGCATCAAGAGGATGTGTTTAACATCATGAAAAGTCATCAATCAAAGAAATTCCACTTCAGGATTTATTGTTAATGCGAGCCTCATGATGCGTGCTGATTTCCCACTGGGAATTAACTGTTCTAAAACGAGAAACTGGTCTAAAATCATCACATCTGTTGAAAGCCTTTCCTTGGTCAATCAACTCTAAACACCCCCATATATGTCACTGCAATTCTCTCTCTATGTTGTCAGACCACGCAGCTCCAGCAGAACTACAGCAATGGAGGGGGGGGAGGGAGAGAGAGAGAGAAGAAGGTTAGTTATGGACTCGAACGTTATCATGAAAAGGAGTAACTGCAGGAGCACAGACCTGATCGCATCTAGCCAACCCATAAGAGAACAAACATGGTAAAACACACAAGCAAGCTCTACATGGCATAACAACACGTGAATTGGAAAAAGGGATAAACGGCCAAAGGGGCGGTGGTTTCGAGGAGAGGAAAAAAAAAGCTCTCTCTCTCTCTTCTTTTTCTTTTCTCTTTCTTGTTCTTTTTTCTTTTCTCTTTGTTAATCAGCTTCTCACTGAAACCTATATGACCTTGGCCATGGACGGCAGTTTCAATAGATTGATTGTTCACGTGCAAGTATGTTTTCTGCTCTCTCGCCATCTACACTACAGTAACCAGATGAAAAGACTTCAGCAAAAGAAAAACTGAAGAGGAGGAAGAGTAAAAGAAACGGGGAAAAAGTCTCAAAACTTTTCTTCATCTCTTGTCGCTTGATCGAAGAATCTTAGCCCTAAAACAGACAAGCCAAGTAGTCGTACTAAACTCATAACGCTTCATCCGTTTCTTCTCTTTCAACCTTTTTGCTTGTTGACGTAAAATGAATTGAAGGAGGACAGTACTCATCGTCGTCTACAAGGAAGAAGATATACGTACAGAATTAACGAGAAGATGGGGTTATATAATTAATTAGCAGTTACCTTGAGAAGAGAGTACCACAGTCACATCTGTATTCTCTAGTGCCACAAGTCTTAGAATGGGCTTTCCAATCAGATTGAACAGCGTATCTTTTTGAGCACTTCTCACACTTCCATTTCTTCTCACCGTGTTTCCTGGAGTAGTGTTTTTTTATTCCAGTAAGGTCACCAAGAGCTCTAGAAGGGTCATGGTGGACGCATGTGGGCTCGGGACACAGATAAACCTTCCTCCTCACTTCTTTTGTAGTCTTCTGCTTTAGCTTCCAAGGTAGGTTGTGTCCTCTTCTGTGGAGCTGTAGGTTTTGCTCCCTTTGGAACCCTTTGTTGCATACCTCACATATGAACCTGTTTGTTGCCATTAGGGTCTTGGGAGATAGTGCAATCACCTCTGCGTCTGGATCTGTTATGAAAAATGACAAACAACAAATTATAAGAAAAATCAAAATTCTAATTACAATGGAAAAGGAAACTTGGGGGAAGACGTTTAAGACATAGTATCTGTCTATATACAACCATGTCAATTCCACTATAAAATTTAGATTTCTTTCAATTGGATTTTTATGAAAGAAGCAAAACCGGAAAAGGGGAAGAAATTGATGAAGATAAAATCATTCTGTCACTTGTAATAGGTAGATCGATCTTTAGATAAAATTGATGATACTTGCTTGGTGTTCCAGGTTGGTTTCTCTTTTTCTTTGGTGGCGGCGGAGCCCGGGCTGAAGATGAAGTTGGGGTTGAGGAATGCTGTTGCTTCATCTGGTTTTGATCCTCTTCCCTAATTCCAAAGAAAGGCACGGATGAAGAAGCAGCCATCTCCAAAGAATTCTTCTACTTTTTTCTTCTTCTACTTGAACTTCGCTTTGCTTCTTCTGCTGTTAGTCTTTCCAATCCTTTTCTCCTCACAAGGAAAATAATAGTCTTGAAACTCAATACAGCCCCACATGAAATTTAAGTACCTGTTAAATATTGTCAACTCAAAAACGCAAAAAAAAGTAGGAAATTCAGGTTCTTGGATGTTATTGATTATATATTGAAACCCTAAAATGGAAAATAATATCTGGGAGAGAACCTGAAATCAAGCAAAAGATGAAGAGAGAAAAAAGTTAGAGCAACCCATGGCATTTTCCTCTGTTCCCTTTGTTTTAAATGCCAGATTTTGAAGGAGTGAGGGTACTCTGGTTCTTCTTTGATTTGGTGTCATGTAGATATACTAACACATATACATACCATAATTTCCTTTTCTTTTTTGCTTTTTCTGTTCTTCCTAATTTGTTTCACAGTTGTTTCCTTTCTTGATTTTGCTCAATAATTTCCTACCTTAAAATGATGTTACAATTTTGTAAGATTAATTGAGAGAGTGTGGAGTAAGGCTTCCAGGTCGGTGGACCCAATCCATCACACGTAACGACATAGGATGGTGCGTGAGGGTAGCATGAACAGCTAGACCTTCTCTCTCTCTCTCTCTGTATTTCGTATCTTGTTATTCACTTCCAGACAAAGCGTCCCTCGTCACTCTCTCTCTCTCTCTCTCTCTCTCTCTCTCAGTCACAGTGGACCTCACCGTCTAATATTTGGTATCAGTCAGAGTGGACCTCACCGTCTAATATTTGGTATTTTACTTAACTAATTCTCCCCACGGAATCCCATTACTCCATAAACAAAAAGTTTGAGGTTTTTGTTTCATTTTTTTACACAAAGAGTGCAGTATAATTTTTCTAATTTATTTTAATTTTATCACTGAAGATTTTTTTCTTTTCAATCTAATCATTTTCTAATCTAATTTTATAAGCTAAAGTTTTAAATTAATTACAGTTAAAATTTAAAATGAGAATACCACAATAAAAAAATACATAGTCAATCTCAAAATTTTATTTTATTTATTTTTAGTTGAATTAAAATAAAAAATAAACCTGCAGAAAAAAGACTAAAAAATTGTGCCAAAAGGTTCCTTTTTCATTAGAAGAGTTTGATAGAGGTTTTTTTTTCCCTCTAAACATGGCGAAAAAAGTAGATTAGAGTTGGTTTTGATTTTTTAAATTTGATTATTTTTTAGTATTTTTACAGAATTTTAGAGTTGTTGGATAATTTATATAAATTTTTATAATATTTTTAATATATTTTCAGATGAAAATAGATGCCCTTTAATTTTTCATGATGGCCAGATTTTGGTCAGCTACCTAGCAGGCAATCTGTAGCCGAGTTTAAAAGACAAAAAAAGAGAGGATAACGTGTATTTTGCTCCTGAGAAAAACAATTAGGCACAAGCTTAGGCTTACAAGCTCATATTCATTTTCTCCATAATTAAAAAAAAAATACTTCATGTACATTAAATTTTCAGTTTATAGTGACGTCAAAATCTCACTTGCAAATAAAAAATACATTAACACTTACATATTTTTTTTCACGTTTAAACAGTATTCTATCTGATATGTAGCAAAGCATAGATCAAAATATTAACACATTTTTCTACTATGAAAGAAATTAATGAACTTTGAATTCTATCCATAGTATATCGATCACGAGTAATAAAGCTAATACAACACTAAACCAAATTAAGCCAAGGGCGAATTAGGGGATGCTTTTTGTTAAAACATATATAAAACGGTTGATTAATCTTGTGTTCACTTCGACCACATCCTTAATCATTCAGTAACAATCAGTTAGTTTCAACCAGATATTTGCAACAAGTGAAGCCAATAATACCAATTATTACTCATTTTTAAAATATGATGACCAGAGAAAGTAAATACCTTTTTTCTCTCTGGTTCTTTTAATAGCCAGACATGGAAGGCAATAATGCTAGTGCAAAAGTGAAATTAAAAAAAAAATGGATACGTGCTCGGTTTTTCTGTGTATCTGAAAACCAGGGTAGCCCACCTGAAGATTTGGTTGGGGAACTCGGCAGCCTTCGTTAAGCTGTTAGCCGGCAGTGAATCAGCTCAAGAACTGTTTGAGGACTTCCAGTTGACTGGCGTGCGAAGGGCGGAAAAGGGTCAGCAGCCTGGCCTTTCTTTCTAAGGTACACGCGCGGGAGTTTATCCAGTTGAGTACAGTTACATGCAACGGAGATGGCTATCACATCAAGGTTTGTCAGGGTATTTAAGTAGTTTCAAAAGAGGCAAAGGAAAGAAATAAAATCGGACCACCGTATAGACAATCACAGCCTATACTTTTATCAAATCCCAATATTCTTTGCTAGCTTCTCTCTCATCCCCATAATTCCTAGTGATTAGTTACCACTGGATTTTGGCCATGGGGTTTTAAGAGAGAGATACACAGAATCGTGTGGTCAAGGAGATGATGGTGTAATAAAGAAAATTTATCTGGTTAATATGGAGTTTTGAAGCTTGGACTGGGACAGCTCTATTCTACTATTTTTTTCTCAAACAAAAACGTGTAGCGATTAGGATTACAGTTGTCATTCTTTGTAACAGTGACAGCTTAACTATAACCATGCATTTCATTTTCATGTTTATATCATGCTGATAGTGTCATATTGCAGTAATCTGTGAGGATGATGCGTTAATTTGAACTAGCAAGAGCCGTTAATTGGCTGACACCTCTAAGTTAGACGGGTGGAAACTAGTTTTCATGGAAACAGTGCCACTGGGCTGCTGTTGATGTTGACTTCGGTTCTTAGTAGGGGTATTCAGATACGGGGGCTGCTCAGTGCCGGAAGGTGAAGGATGATGGTGACCTGATGACAGGGGGCGAAGCCTCGGTGAACGGCGGCGTGACTATAACGGTTTGAAAATAGCAAAATTTCTTGACGACTAAGTTCTGGCCCGCACAAGAGGTGTAACGATTTGAGTCTTTTCTTGGAGGGAGGCTAAGTAAAATAAACATGACTCGGGTAAAAATTCAAGTTTATATATATTAATGTCGAAGTATGGTAAAAGATTTATTGATTTTTGAAAAAGATTTGTTATTTTTTAAAATAATATTATTTTGATAATTAAAAATAATTGAAAATCTATGTTAACCTGTCCAGCGCTTGACCTGCGTTAGTCGAGTTTAATAATAACGCATGCAGGGAACTTAGATGCCAATTCATAACCTTAACCTGGTGATAATGCATGATATCCATGGCGGAAGAACCCATCGATGCATAAACGCAGGCAACAATATGGCCAATTGAGACGAATTGGGTTGCGTGATTAGGCAATCACTAACTTGTGATTAATATTAATAATAGTTATGATGGTCAACGACCTCACATAAAACCCACTTCCTCTTAATTAGATATAGATTAAGAACAGTTATCCGTGAACATAGAAAAATAATTAACCCTAGTCATAGGCTAGTCTATCATTCATTCTAGCTAGTATGCAGTCTACTGATTAAGATTTTAAAGCCTTCAAGTTAATACAATAGGAAATGCAAAACGTAACAATTACTGGAGAATTCTTGGTCACTTTGACGATGGAGATAAATATAGATTGTCAATTGAGACGAGGATTTATCCAGACAATAAGACCATCGAGTGACAACACAACAGCGTGTTGGCATCACGAGGATGATAGTTCTGTTAGAACTGGACACACTGTGTTTTTCATTTTCAATGACGGCGGCATAGCACGCGCTATCTCATCCGTTTTTATTTTATTTCTTTATGTACGCTCACCGACCCTTTTAATTGTTTTTTTCTTTTTATACTGTCGGACGTCGAATTTGAAATGACAAATCCACCCAAGTGAACCAGAAATGCTACATCGTCCATATCAGTTCAATTATATTTTTAGTGGTTTGGTTGGGGTGGAAGAAAACCCAACGTCATCGAGTAATAGTCTTACAAATAGCTAATCGATTTGGAAAGGTATATTTTTATTTAATAGGTGATATAAAATCAATATTCTCATCCAACAACTTAATCTATTATATCAATATAGTTTTTAATTTAACAAATTTGATGATAAATGGGTTTATAAATAAGTTTATAGTTCAAATCTTTCATATTTCATGATTATTAAACTACATATAATTTTTTATTTTTCATAAACCAAAAATAACATGATAATTACCAATAAAATATAGAACATAAGATATGAAAATAGTGTTTGAAATAGTTTTAGTAGTTATTTTTTAAAATATATTTTATTTGAAAATATAAGAAAATAGTATGTTTTTTATTTTTTAAAATTTATTTTTCATATTAGCACATCAATATAAAAATATAAAAAAATTAAAAAAATTAAAAACACTATTAATATCAAGTGGTTTTCTTGTATTTTAAAGCCACGCTATAGGTCAAAAGGTTGACAAAAATAAGTTACCGGTCTTATAATTATGGGCAAGTTTTGACATGGTAATGCAGGTAATAAGGAATGTCGTTACCTAATTGGGGGCTTCATATATATAAAAAATGAAAAAGAAGAAGAATGTTATTATCCATTTTGTTTGGTGTTTCTTATATTTTTATTGTTGTTTTTTGTGTGTGTATTTGATTCATTTTGTTCAATTATTTTTGAATTTTTTTATCTTTTGAATATTTAATCTGATTTTTAGCTTTTGTTTTGTTTTTAAGTTATTTTCAAATGAAATCAGAATTTTTTATTCAATTTATGGTTGAATACAAAATTTCAAGTTGACTTGGTCTGGTTAGGGAAAAAATAGGTGATCAAAGGGTTTAATACTTTGTTTGGTTTGTCATAATTTTTGTTGAAAGATTTTTGGGTTTAAGAGCATTCCCCTTAAGCCTATTTTTTGTAGTTTTATGACAAAAAATAGATTTTTATCAAACAAAACCTAAAAAAATAAAAAAATATTTTTCTTTTTTTCATGTGGCTAAAAATCCTAAAGTTATTTTAGCATTTTAAAAAAAAAATATGAAATACTTTGACATATTTTTTTAAGGAAAAAAATGTATGGATTTTACAATAAATTTGTAAAATTTCAAAGGATTTTGGTTTACATTTCAAAAATATCAAAACACAAAAAAAATATTTTTTTATTTTAATATATGGAATTATTAATTTATATGTAAGATATATTTCTAATATTAAATAAGAAAATAATTTATTTTATTTTTTATATTGATATCAAAACGATTAGGTTTTTAACATAATAAGATAAAAACTTTTTTATTAAAGACTTTTCTTAAACATTAAATAAACTAACAATTAAAAAAAAACAATATTTTTTTTAGTTTATATCATACAAAATAAACAATACAGCTTACTTCAGGTAAAGTATATTAGGAGTACTAATACTTTTTCTTTACATTATGAATCATTTTACTCAAGCTATAGAATTAGTTAGGGTTTCTATTACCTATAATAATAAACAACGAGTTTTATTTGTTTTTAATTGATAAAAAACAATGATTTCTTATCTTTTCACCTATATTATTTATGATAATCTAGATTTAAAAGGATAATCATTGTGACATCACATACATACGACAAGTCCTTATAACTAGATTTTAAGACCAATTAGAATTTTTAATAATCAAAATATTAGATAATGAATTTTTATTATTATTATTTTAAAAAAATAAAAATTTCTTATTATTTTTATCCACATCATTCTTGACGACTCAAAAATTAGCATCACATGCAATAATAAATATAATAAAATCATACTCTTTTATCTTATCTATTGAGATGTAGTTTTCTGGCATTAGGCGAGTGTACAGTTCAAAATGAAGAGTACTCTGGGGTAGCACCGGAAGTCAATGGAAAACAAAGACAATAGCTTCTTCCACCCCGAGATGCCTTTTCTTTTCTATTTATCATGGGACGGTCATGGTGTCTTCAAAAATTCTACATGAGGAATTCAAGAAATTACTTCAAATTTAAAGTTCCAAATTCGATTATCTGTTGAATCCAAGAAGGTTTGGAATCCTATATACGAGTGGCTTCGAGCGAGATGCAAAGGAAACTTCCTGGGAAGGACCACATAAGTCCAACTAGTACGATGTATATGATATCAGGAAAACAAAAATGCAAGGCATAATAAAGGTGACAGGATTAATAGGAAGAACAGCGGGTTTAAGCTAATGGCGGAATGGGTTACTCGGATAATAATGATCCATGATTCTTATTTAATTATAGATTCTAAAAATAAATATGATATATTTATCATTTATACTTTATAATAAAAAAAACTTTAGTCGGTTATGAAATAAGGGATAAAATTCATGTAGTATGCACACCACCTCAGGAAGAAATAATGTCGGCAATGCAAAGGTCGAGATCGAATATACTATAGCCTTGAATATTTATATATATTCACACAAGAAAAGGTCAATTAACATCAGCATAAAAACCTGACTGAGGATTATCAGAATCTTGAGACCAAATTGAAAAACTCTATAAGTTTGTGTATTTATTTTATTAGAAATAATTTATGAATTATATTTTTTTAATTTCATTTTCATTCAATTTTTTAATTTGTAAGATTTATTTCTTATTATTTTAATAAATTTTAAAAAAATAAAACAATAATAATTTTTTTAATTAATTTTCTATAACATAATCAAATACTAAAAATATTTTTTAACTTATTTTTTATTACACTATTAACTATTAAAAATTAATTTATTTTTAAAAAAACATTATTTTTCAATAAACCAACATAATCTTACGTCAAAGTATTTCTTTATTTCACTCTCAACAGCAGAGTAATTGAATTGAGTGGGTAACAAACAAAAATCTCTATTCCCTCCTCATTTTCTAAAATTCTAAACCCTCGCTGGTTTAATTACATAAATGCAATAAATTCTTTTAAAAAAATTTTTAAAAAAATTGTCCATTTCCATGGATGTTCCATTTTTTTTTAAAAAATTGTCCATTTCCATGGATGTTCCTGTATAGACGAGCTTTCACTGCGTTTCTGTCCTTTCGAAAACCGCCTTCTACTTGTATCGCTCGCTGCCGCCGCCTCGTAGGAGATTGAATTGCAATGAGCGTTGTCGTCTTCCATTTAAAGCAACTCCATAGAAGGATGATGACGATGATGTTTCATAGAGTTTTAAAAGCGACGGTGTGAGTTTTTGGGAGGAGAATAATCCGGCCAAGACTTCGTTCATGTAATAAGCACTGGTAGCACGAAGGATGCCTTCGTTGATTTCTTCTTCAACTCGCCTTTCCAGTTCTCGCCTTCCTCCTCCGATCTTGGCATCGCTGCAATTTTTTTCTTATTTTATTTTATTTGTAGATCTTTTTGTGTTACTTTTGTAAGAAAATCGTGTTCATGCAGGAATGTTTAGATCAAATATTCCTAGAATGTTCAATTGCAAGAAAAGGTTCGTGAAAAAGGTTTGTGTTTCTAATTTTCTTATGCTGGTACTGCTTTTCTTTTTCTTCTTTTCTTTTCTTTTCTTCTTTTGCAGCACAAAACAAATAAAGAATAATCCAAGGGTTATGGAAGTTTCGCAGCTTGTAAAGTTTTGTTCAAAGGCTATTATCCTTGTTTGTACATTCCTTAACTATCACTCTCATATGTTCGGGGCTGCTGTTAGTCTGATTAAATTGTTTTATATGCTAAAACTAAGCAATGAAGCGATTTTTAATAATGTATCTACACGTTAAAGGGTGAAGATGCTGAAGTGCCTAAGAAGTAAGGAATTCTTTCTGTTTGTTCTGCATCTATGCTGGTAACCTTCATCTCATGAAAACAGGTTAAAGAATGCAAGTCGAGTTTTGGGTTCTTATTTTCTGAAAAGCTATTTGTTTGAAACAAGACATTCTGCTTGTGTTGGTTAATTGTTGGAGTGGCCAACTTTAATTTTAAATGGAAAATCCTGTCCAGTATCTTGTCAAACTTATCGTCTAAAAATGCTAGTTGTAAATTGGGATGTGTGGTTGACGCGGAAACGATAATTTCACTTAGATATTTACAGGCAACCATGAACCTGAAGAATTTTAGCTCTTCCTCTGTCTTTCTGGTAATCTTGAAACTTTCCTCTAGATCATTGAGATTATTTGATCTATTTCTGATCTGATTGTCTGATTTTCACACAGGGAGCTGAGCGAAATTCACTAACGAAGTGGATTCCTATCATGGAGATGCAGTACAGGGGAGCTGTATACAGAGATTGGTGCCAAGGAGGTCTTCCAGAAGGGAAGGTACTGATAGCCCTGAATTGTTCAGAGAATTGGTGATGTTTGTTTCATCTGTAGTAGAAGAACTCAGAGCCCACTTGCTTAAGTTAAATTTACACAGGGTCATCTGATCCTCGAGGATGGAAGAATGTGTGATGGTATGTGGTGCTATGGTAAGAGATCAGGCCCAGGTACATTCTACTTCAACCATGGGGATGAATTCCAGGGATCGTGGAGGGATGATGTAATACATGGCAAGGTTGGTCTCATGTCATCTTCCTCAGCCACCTCCTAACTTGACTGATGACTTTCAAATGAAGAGGATTTGTAATTTTCTATGACCAGCTTCATCATCCTCTAGCATAGTACGGGGCACCATGCTTTGAGTCCTTTTCAGATAGAATCGTTCTTAGTGACTGCATTGAGGTCATATTGTGGTTGTCTAGCACTACAATCTCCATTTTTGGATGGCTCAATAACATTAACCTTTCGGAAGCATTCAGAGATTAAACTATACATATTTAGGTGCAACTTAGTCCTAAGAGGTGGTGATTTTGGTACACATTCTGACTGCGTTGGGAATCTTTTAGGAAGTTACTTTACAAAGAGGCAATATATCCACTTGTGCCTGTGCGTGGTGGGCGTGTGCGAGTGGAGGTGGGGGTGGTGAGGGTCTATGCACTGTATCCTCTTCCCATTCATATCCTCAAAAAAATTTGCCCAATAATTTCAATCAGACCACCATAGATGTAGTGCACTGTTTTGCTCTACGTCCAGGGCCCTCTTATCTGAATTGCTACTTCACCTTTTATTGTTGAGGATGGTGAGGTTCTCTGCACTATATCCTCTTCTTGTCCATGTCCCTGCAAAAAAGAAAGAAAGAAAAGGTTCCCATAATTCCAATCAAGACCAAATGGATGGAGTACATTTTTTTGCTCTACATCCAGTTCTCAACTTTCTAAACTGCCGCTGCGCCTTTTATTGTTGGTGTGGAAATTATTGCAATTCAGACTTTGTTTTTTGAGCATTTCTCTGTTTCTTTGGACATCTAGGGCTGGTTTTATTTTCATACCAGGGATAGATGGTTTGCAAACTTTTGGAAGGGAAAGGCCAGTGGAAAATGTTGCTTCTATTCAAAGTCTGGTGATGTCTGTTTTGGCCATTTCCAAGAAGGGTGGTGATATGATCGCTTCGTTTGTATTGATTTTGATGGAGCAAGGTCCGTGTACTCGATTTGCTATGGAACTCTTTTTAATCTCAACAGATCTACAATAACAGTGATTTGGTATAGAAATCTAATTCCATGCCAATTCTCCATGTGCATGGGTGTGCTGAACATGGGATGAGGGTGTTCTTGCAAGTCGTGAGTAATTGGATCTGGTAGTGGCTGTGGGTAAAGCTTGTGTGCTCATAGAATATTAGTTACATTTTTCTTTTTTCTTTTTTTTGAAGTTGCCTGTGAAGCCTTTGTTTGGTTCTCGAGGTTCAGTTATTTTTTTTTTGAAGTTGCCTGCGAAGCCTTTGTTTGGTTCTCGAGGTTCAGCAGGTATTCCTTACATTTGAAAGTTATTTTCAGAACCTTGCTACAGCCAACTCCGTTATCTGGTGGTATTCTTCCATCTCCCCCCGGTAGCGTGTTCACTTGAAGGTGTGGTTTGTGAAGCATTTGTGCATTTAGTTTTTGAATAGTCAAAAGTTTTCTTCGGAGTTCAGACGACTGACTTCGTATAAAGCAACCGGAGGCTTTTTTTTTTTTTTTGGTTGATGGTATTTGCAGATTTGGTTACTTGGTTTCGTGAGATTTCTGCCGGGATTTCACGATAGATAGCTAATTCTTGAGAGCTTTGGATGTACCGTAATCAGCCACATATATTGGGATGAAACAGTTGGGGTTCAATTCAGATTGCGAGAGAACAAGGGATTCATTCAAGGATTGAACTGGGGATTTCTGCCGGATGAATGATCTCATGTTCGACGATGAGTGGTTTTATTGGATCAACTCAAGACATCTTATTGGTTGATTTCAAGAATGCATTTTAATATCAGTTTAGATCCAAGATTACAACTTGGATGCTCGTACTTCGAATGTGTGAATTTTTTAATGTGCTCTAGAATTGATCATAAAGGTTTGGGGAGCCAGAAGAAAAGATTTTCACTAGCTCCATGCTGCCGAATCCCTCATCTTTCCGTCTAATTTTTGTTTGGTTTATTATAAGCTTATAAAAACCAGAGTCCATATGGGGGTGCAGAAGAAGAAAATCAACCTTTGTCTGTGAACTGCCAGCAGGCCCAACGCGAAGCTGAAAATCCTTTCAACAAATCAAGGAAAGCGAGCTGTCATACCCCCATATCATTTGTCCCTCTTTTCATATTTTAGGGCAAAGATATAACACGCAAATGCAAGAACCTCGCCGAAACAGAGCTTCAGAAGGCAGGGGGGAAATACCATTGCCCCTCCAAAGCTTTACTACAAATCATTTACGCGGAGCATAGAATCAATCGACCTCGACTTCAAGCAAAAATGTTAGCTAGCAAGTTTTCCAGAACACCATGAAGAACATAATTAAACGCAGCCTGATAGCTGCTGAAGCGAGGAAATACATCAAACTAATTAACAAGACTAGCCAACAATGATTAAAGCAATGTTCTATACATGCCTAGGCCTATCTACTGGAGAAGATGACAAGTGAAGACAAGATTGGTTGCCTTGGACCAAATGTTCAAATGAAGACGAGTCACAGGTACTTTCCTTCCAACATTTTAGCAGCATATTTTATCACAACAAACTTATAGATTGACCAGTTCAGCTTCATCAAAAGTTTTTCCAGCTCCAGCATAAAATCTGTCAATGCACAAGGAAAATAGTTGGATATTTTTTTTAGCCACAAGGTTATAAAACCAAATGCTTTACTGTCTCTTAAAAAGGAAATGATCGTTCTGTGAAAAAAAATAAAAAAATGTTCAGAGCTTAAACAAACAGATTGACGAAGTACAGATCTTTACTTTTATTTTTTATTTTGGAAACCCATCAATGTATCCTAATATATTACCTTATCCAAAAAAATTAATACTTTCAGTTTATCCACATTCTCTAAAATATATCCATTTGTCAATTTTTTTCTTAAAAACATTTCTCATTTAGAACAATCGTTTGTTTCTTTTACATGCTCTTGAAAGGGCACTCAAATGAATTCATAAAAACATTATAATGTGCATATTATAATTGATTGATTTTTTTTACAACAGTACCATCGAGAAAACATGTTTGTATAATAACGGATTCCCCAGCACACCATTGAAATGAAAACCAACATATCCTTCACTAGAGCTGTAGCAAGATGGTAAAGGTCATAAGAAGATGGGAAAAACAACAGCCTTGAGGATTCGATCGGGCCTTCTAATTCTGGTTGAAAAGGGAGGCAACAAACAAGGTCATTGGAGTCCCGTTAAAAGAGAAAGTAGTCACATGGATCTCCTTTAGATCGTAAAGATAAAGAGAGTTTAAACATGCATTTATATTTACGATCCATGATTTCCTATTCTGCCAATGCATCAATTGAAAAATTGGGATTATTCTAATTAGTGGATGACTTCATTAAATTTGGATTTTGCATGTCATTATATTGCAATGCAGGTGGTTGAGATTTCATAGTCATAGAGATTGAATGTTTTAAACGGATCGCCTTTCGGGAGATGGCAAAGGATAGGTGATCGTGGAGGATAACAGTTGTTGATAATTCTCATTGCTAGGGAGTTGGGAGATGGCAAAGGATATTAGGTGATCGAGGAGGATAAAAGTTGTTGATAATTCTCATTGCTAGGGAGCATGCCATACTGGGTAGGAAGATTTCGTGACATAGATTGGTTTTAAGATAAAGAATTTGAGGGAGATGCTGTTACGCCTAGTTCATGTTGGCCCACTAACAGTTTGTTGTTTACTCCTCATTTGATTTTGGATGCTGAAGACAAGAAATGGGCAACAGAAGATCTCTCATTGCGGTATAGGGATAGTGGAATCATGGATCAGTCTTTTGTTGTCAACAGAAAGCAATTATCAATTTTCTGTTGAATTCATGGCATAATACATGGTGTATGGCAATGAAATGTCTGTTGGCTATTTATTTGAAGTATATACCAGCCTAGTAAACTTTGAACAGATATCAGTAGGCTGGCGCTGATGAAAAGTAGATGATTAGATGGGGAGGTTTACAAGAAATGCCAGGTGAGACTTGGATGATAATCCCACTATCTGTGCTTCAGGATGCCTTTTTGACAGGAATTCCAAAGCCTTAAAGCGATTATGCATTATGCTATCAACCTCAAAAATTCTGCAGAGTCTTCTTTCGTTATCGAGATTCAGGTAGGGCCCATTTTCTCTCTTTCTCTTTGATGCATCTCTTCTATACTTCCTTTCAGCTATTTCGATGCTTTATCACCCAACTATGTAACATACAAAACACAGGAACACATGTGTAAGACAATACTTGATGCATTAAAAAAAGAAACCTTACCTTCTCATTCTGCTAGCGAAGGGGAAGTGTTTCTCAAAGTATCCCACGCAGTTCAATGTCCCAAAGTTTGTTGAACACTTTTTTCCGGAGAATCATGTTGATGTACATAATTAAGACTGTATGCAATTAATTGACAAAAAAAAGTCCATCAAGGGGATGCTAAAAGGTCAAATTCAGACAGGCAAAGTCCGGTCTACTCACCTGCAGTTCTGTGGTACCCTCCAAGACACAGAAAGTGATCGTATCAAGGTTGGTGGCAGAGATAAAAAAGTTTTCCAATCCTGAAGCATAATTCTAAGATCATGAAGCTTGCTATCCAAACCATAACAGCAATTTGCATGCATTGTACAAACTAAATTCAAATCCTTGCTAGGTTCGCAAAGGCCCCCAAAGAAAGCAGTGTCCAAGAATCTCATCTTCAATCCAAGGTCCTCAATGAAAGGATCAAATTTGATAAAATTAAGGACATCCTGATCATGGTATCCAGGATAGATCTCCCGTGAAGAATACCAGAACTTGTAAAATTCTATTGAGCGTTTGTTGGACTTTACATAGTTAAAGCCTCCATTGGGTCTGTTTCGCATGTCACTGGAGTTGCCTGAGAAATGATCGCACGCAATCTGGAAATCAGCATCCAGAAAAAACCGTGGAAAGGGGTCCCTGAACCACATGATATCAGCATCCTGGAGGAAACCAACCAAACACTTTGAATGTGCAGTAGAATAATTAGGAAAGGATGACCAGACTAGGATGAGACATGAATATGCATTCAGAAATGAGTATCTGCATACCTAGATTGAAGAAAAAAAAATACAGGAAATGCCATTCTATTTTGAGAAACACAAAAGTACAGTTCAACCATAATAACAGACTCTTTTTTCTTTTTTTCTTTTTGGTTGGGGGGGAGGGGGGGTACGAGGGTGCCAAAAATACAGTCATAATTTAAGCATCCTAGAGGGCACTGTTCTCTTACAATCTTATCAGCCTATTTAAAGAGTTTGAGCTAAATAATTAAACAAAAACCAACCTTTTATGATTGAAGAAAAAAAAAAAAGTGTTGCATTTCACAATGTAACATAGAAAAGTTTTGCAGCATCACACCATCCATCTTATTCCTTTCTTCTACTATTGAAAAAAAGGGTGCCAAGACACCTCGGACAGCCCAAATAACTTCTAAAACCTTAAAACTAGTTTCAGTAAACTCTCCAAGTAAGCAGTGCACAGACATTTCCTTGTTCAAAAACCAATTAACTACACGATGACTGCACACCTATTTCAGCACAGAACTAATTTGCTTCAACAGCAGTAAAGTAAAACAACGATCCATCTCAATTCTCAGAGAAGATGAATTTGCACAAGCAAGAAAATCACAGCCTCGAGCAAAATTAAGAGATTAAATAATAATAATAATAATTACCGTGAAAACAAAGTTATACCCCATTTCAAGAAGAGAGCGCAAGAAATCAATGCGTCTCCACATCATCTCCAAATAGAAATGGGTCATAAAATAAGCCTCGTCATGAAAGTCAAGTCCTTGAGTAACAAGAGCAAAGCAATGCGTATGTAATTCCATACACCGCCTGTACGCCTTTTCATCCAAAGCAACAATCACCAGATGATCCAAGAGCCTGCGCGTTCCCTGACCAATTCTAAAGCTTTCAAGGAATAAATCAATAACTGTATTTGGAGCTGCCCATGCCTCATTTAATGTAGCAATTATTACTGTCTTATCTTCCATTGCAGCTTCTTTCAGAACTTTCTCCAGCTTATTATAATCACCACCACCATTAATCTACATAATCAATCACATTCAATAATCCATCAATCCAATGCAAATAAATATGTTGCTGAGCTAAAATGCGCCGTCAGTCATTTGATTTGTGCTAAAATGCGGTGAATAGTGATTTCCCCATTATTATTATTATTATTATTCACTCACTGGGATTTTAGAATCGCTGCCGCCGAGGCGAGAAGGGAAGATGTTAAAGGGGTAACCGGAGGAGGAAGAGTGGACGCGTGGAGAATCAGAAGCGCCGTAGAGGAGCAAAATGAAGACGGAAATGGAAGCGAAGACGAGTACGGCACGGGGCACGGTGGATTCAGACAACATGGTGGCGGAGATGGCAGGGAAGCGAGTGGTGAAACTGATGGGGATTGTTTGGAAGCTTAATAATCAAGTAACTTGATTCATCAAGTAGCACGGTTTAATTACATTTGAGCTCCTTGTGAGCGTAAAGACGAGGGATATGTGGTGAGGAAATCAAAACAGCTTTGGATTGGATAATGTGGGTCCGTCTATCTCTAATAACGGTGTCCCTTGCTGTCCTCCTTTCTTGTTTTGATCGCCGTTCCAAATTAGGGGATTTCTCCCGGCACTAAAGTCTAAAACAGTGCGCATCTCTGGAACACTTGTTCATATTAATTCATGCTCTCCTTTTCCGCTTGAATTAATGGCATTTACAAGTGGAAAATTATTCCATCCATAGCTATGGCATGATCACCTGGATTCTGCTAATTTCATTAGATAAATTTAGTTTTTTTTTTTTGAAGAATAAAAAATATTCAATACTCAAGTATGACTTACCCGCTTAGAACAAGTGCATTTAAAAATGTAGTTTGATCGTGTTTTCAATAAAATCAAGAAAATTAAAAAGAAATTAAATTTTAAACGATATTTTATGTTTTTTTATTTTAATATATTGGTGTTAAAAATAAATTTGAAAAATAAAAAAACAATTTTTACTTTCTTATTTTATGACACTTTCAAAAACAATTTTTACTTTCTTATTTTATGATCACAATTCAAGATGGTAATTTTATTGTTCAAAAACTAAGCTGTGGGTGATGGTAATAATGCAAAACTTTGAAGATCCACATCTGGATAATTTTTGAAGCACTCTGTCCCTTATCGCTGCTCCCATTGAATAGAAAAATGACCCATGGAGCCGCACATACACCTTTGTTAGGTGACTGTTTTGTTCAAATAAATTGTGAAATTAATGTGTTGATTTCATGCTTTTAGATAAATTATTTAATACCTATCACTGATTTTTCTTTTTATTTTTTAATAAAATAAATAACCAATGAGTTATAATTAAATTTCTTTTTTTAATTAAATCTAATTTAAATTCGTTCCTGGATTAGTCAAGTTCTAATCAAGCTGTCAAATCTCAAATAAATTCATCAAGTCAAGTTTAAAAAACATGATTAAATCTACGCAGGGGGTCAAGACTACAAAACAAGAAAATAAATTAAAACAACAAGAAGCGGCACATAATTATTAAAATAAAATAACGTTGTTTATTTATTTATTTTATATCATGTAGTGTGATTTATCTAGCAATCGGGACCCTTTTTTTTAAATTATTATTATTCAAAAGACTTGAATCCAAGTCCAAAGGAATTCACACCTCCTCCTCCTACTCCTATTCTAAGTTGTAGTATTATTTAATATGAGCGTCCTTCTACTGTGTCAATTTTCTAAAGGGGTTTATTGCTAAAACAATTAAAAAGTACGGCGGATTTACCCGTTCATATAAACAATAAATTAATATAATATATCCTTTTACTTATTTCGTTAGAAGCCTTACGTTATAGGCTTATAGCTTGGTCGTTAAAACATGAAAAGACATCGAGGTCACGGTTCAAAACTTGGGGGCCATGCCCATTTTAAAAGCAGAAAAAAATGCAAGCCTAAGTGAGCAGCCCACGCAGCTCTACTTTTTTAATACAGACAATATAGTGTTTTTAATTATTTTTTTATTATTATTAGCTAAAGTGTTCATCTAGTTTATGCACATGGTGATGAATTTCAAGTTAACATGGTGATGTGAATTTCCAGTAATTTTAAAATTAAAATTTGTAAAACTTTAGACTGATAATTTTTAAAAATTAAATTTAAAATTTAATTAATTAAGTTATACGTTGATTAATTAAGTTATACTTTGAAAATTAATTAATTTTATTATTTCATATAGTTGATTATGAGTTATTTTTTTGTATTTTTATAATATTATAATATAAAAAAATTAATTTAACTTTATAAAATATATAACTGAACTTAAAATGCAGGTTTTACAAGTTAATCTTAATCTTGATAAACATTGTTTTATTTTTTTATTCAAATTTTTTCTTTAGATCTAGAGTAATTTTTATATAATTTAATTTAAAATTTAGAATAAAAAAATAGTAACATCAAGATTTTTAAGTTTAAATTATTATACTAACAAAAAGAAAATTATGACCATCAAGAAATTATTTGTTTACATTCTAAAAATGTTTTACCGCAATAAAAACGTGGACAATAATCGACGTCATTTTCCACCTTTATGTTCCCTAAAAAATAATTAAATTTTTGTCCTTTATTAAACCGGTGATTCTTAACTTAACCACACGCAATTGAAAACATGGGGAGAGCACAAACCAAAGCCCTATCCTGTACTAATTCCTCTTGCCAGCAACTCCTACAGAGCCCACGAGCATCATGATTTCTTGTTCACAACATGGTAATTTTCTAAGAAATAAGCCTCCAAGGTTGCTCGTAAATACTGGTAAACATGAACACTACGCGACCATTTTGCACGTATATCTTCTATGAACTCAACAATTAAATCAAAATGAAATTAACGAACGCTAAGAATAAAGAAGGGGAACGGAGATATCTCTGTGGAAAATGAGCGCTAGAATATTTAATTTCTAGAGAACAGACTTCCTTTTCAAATATTGATTAGGCACCACAAAGATTAATAGACAAATCTAAGTTAATGTCCCGTTTTCCAGTAGAAAAGCCAGAACAATCTTTTAAGTTAGACCTGGAGTATGATGAGAATGTCTCGCTGATCTCACTCGTCGATGACGCATTGCTTCTCTGTGAGGAAGGATGAGGCAGGGAGAGTGCAAGTGACAATTCGCAAACACCAGGTTCTTCATCTTCTGCTCTTTCACTTTCAGTAACCTCGGATTTGTACACCTTTCCTGGTTTGCACATTCTATCCTCTAGCTCGGCAATCTATGGAAGGAAAAAAAAAAACCTGTCATCTATAGTTTGCTGCATTACTGACACCAAAATGCAATGGAAAGATAGGACAACATTTATCAATGCTATTGAGTAGCAAATATGAGACCTAAGAGAAAAAACAGCCATTGCAGCTGTCACCGGAATCTCTCATTTCATACAGGTGGTGGGCATTCCTCTCTACTTATCCTGATAATTAATTGACACGGAATAAGGAACAAATATTGTGGCCGTATTACAATCAAGCCATATCATATGGGGGGCAGTCCTTCGATTCAGTACCGGCAATCCTGCCACTGCTTGTACTGGCTCTAAGAATTCATGTTTCTCCAGTGCACTAGACGGATATTTTCAATCCCCTCCCTTTTACCCTCGAGGCGACCCCGTTTATCAGAGTGACAGTGCACCCCAGTACGTCAAGATTGCAGTAACACAAAGATTATCCTGCATGTTTACCCCAGAACCTAGCAAAGAAAACTCTTCAAATCAAATCTCGAAATGGAGCTTGAATACAAGTCCATTCTAAAATCCCCACAGTTTAAAAGAACTGAACAAGCAAAGCAGGCTGCGGAGTTGCTGGTCACTTACCACCATCTAGAGAACCAGACAGGCTAACAAGGGCGGTTTTAATCCGATAACAACTTGTTTATTTTTACATTTAAAAACTATTCTTGGAAAAATTTAAATTTATTTTTTAAAAATTAATTTTTGTTGTGTTTTGAAATATTTTAATGTGTTAATATTGAAAATAACTTTTAAAAATATTATTTTAATATATTTTTAAATAAAAATATTTTAAAAAATATATATCACACAGTAAAGTAAGTTCCACTCAGCCGGTCCCTAAGGTAATAATAAAATATCGCCCAATTAGATACTGTACAGTGTACCAGTCCAAAGACTTTGCACTAGCATGAGATACTACTGCACACTTTCCGTTTTTCACCTGAATTACAGCAATGAGAACACTGTAGGGCTCTAGAGATGACGTAAGTTGACCAAAAAACGCCCGGATATTCCAGCCTACCACTGGTCATAAAGCCCTACGCATATCTATTTCTATGGAAACTAAAAAGAGGCCACCATACAGAAGTCAGCAGACTTGAAAAGATGAAACCAAAAACCAACGTTACACTCAACCCCATTAGAAAGGCTGGCAAAAGAAATAGAGAGAGAGAGCTTGGTTTAAATTTTCTACCTTGACGAGGTCAGATCCTTCCGCTTCACGTTTCGAAGTGTTGAAGTAATACAGGTCAAGTGATAGGGAGAAGGCTGTCGATTGAGGCTTAGAATGGGCTTGCTCCCATTTGAAACCACCTCCGTTACCTTCCTCCATTATTCCCCTATAATCATCAAAAGAGTACGGATTCGAGACTGTTTCACATATTCCTTGACTGCATTGCAGGTTCTCCTCAGATATTGAACTCCTGGTCTCGATTCTGGCCCTGTAGAAAAGAGAATTTAAACAAAAAGGAGCTTGAAAAGAAGAAAAAGTAAAGGGCTGAAAGGAAAAGATCATGCAATATTGCTAATCTTTTTTTGTTTGTTTCTACATGAATATATCTACTTTTCTTTTTGATATGTGCGTCTGAAACCATAAGGATAAAGCTAAGCCTACCTTTTTGAAGAGAAAGGCCTGTACATCAAGTGAGAATCTGATTCTTCAATGGGTTTTACGTCTTCAACACACTCATCGTGGTCATCAAAAGATCGTCTCTTTTGTTGGGTGGAGCTACTGTCTGTTCAAAGCGACCAACCCAGCAACATAAACCCAAACGCATACAAAAAGATGTCAATTCCATCAAATTTGGCTCTTTTATAATTGAAAAAAAAAGAGTAAAGCAAAACAAATGGGGACTGTAACTTATAAAAGCAGGAATGCGATGCAAGTGATACTGTGAGTTTCATCAGAAATGCTAATATTAGAAGATTTGCAAGAGAAACGAGGCTTATTTTGTTCTCAACGCTTTTGGCATCAACTCTAACAGAAAAGACAGGTAATAAATGAAGGGAAGCAACTACCCATTTCCAAAACGTATGTTCACATGTGAATTTCACAATTCTTGACTTTGAGTAGTTGATAAGAACCACTAGAGGAAAGTATAATAGAGAGTCTGAAATCAATGCATGTACAGACCCAGACAATGATGGATGACAGAGCTTGAAGGTTAGAAAATTTGAAGTTTTGGGATTCCTGGGCCTGTATGTGATAGTTGAGGGATAGAGAGCCAGAACTATTAATGTGTACTCATCAAACAAAGAGGGTGGAAAATAAAAAGCTTTGGATACCTTGTCCCCTCAGGTCACTCCTCATGCTTCTATACATCTGATCAAGACAAAGAAAGCAAATGTAAGCAAACCAGTAAAACAAAGGGTGCTTGAAGATACAAAAGACAAGAATTTTGAAACGAAGTTGTAGGAGAAAAACAATACACCCCAAACTATAGTAGCGTGGAGAAGAGAAGGACTAACCTGGAGATGGCTTTTCACATGTGAAATGGTGAGTCCTTTCACATCCATCAGCTGAAGAACCAGTTTAGGCGTAGCCTCTGCAAAGAAGAGACGGGAAAAAAAGAAAGAAACAGAAAGGAGCAAAATAAGCACATAGTCAACATAAGTGCCAAAAAGGAAGAGCCAAGAAACCTAAAACAGAAGGAAGCAATAATCCAACAAGAACTGTACTCACTATCTTGACCACCGAGCCTCTCAATCGCATGAACAAAGCAGCGATGTAGCTCAGGAGTCCATCTCAAACGAGGCACCTTTGATCTTACATATTGCCTCACAGCCCCACTCCTTCCACAACTACCCATTTCTTCAGAATCTAAATGGGTATCCCAAAAAAAAATAAGTTCTTTTCCTCTTCTAGACAAGGTTCCACCAGCCGGGCTCTCTTAAAAATTTCTCCTTTTTCACCCCCTTTGGTTTGTCTTCTCAAAAGGAGTTGTTTCTTTCTTTTCTTTCTTTCAATCTTGCTGGAAGTGTCCAGGTATAAAGGAGCAATATGCACAGGTCACAGAGGCTTAAAACAAACTTACACATGTATACTCACTCATGAGCGTAGATTCTTAACAATGAAGGTAGATAAAACAGGCTTTAAGAGAGAGAGAGAAGGATCACGCGAAAAGGAATAGACGAGGCTGTAAATTCCTTAAGAAGGACTGATAATACCTGACTGCTGGCTTTTTTCGGGTGTTTTGTATTGAGTTTTAACTTCTTCTTCTTTTCGATTTGAGTTTTTTATTTTAAATTATTTTTTAATATTAGAGATAAAAATAAATATATTATTTTAATATATTTTAAGAAAAAATAACCTCTAAATAATTCAACTGACGCAGCACAGAGAGAGAGAGAGAGTGTGTGTTAAAATAAATGAAGGAAATCTGATCTGATGATCACGAATTTCTGATCTTCACCGAAAATCAGCACACCTATGTAATAGCAGTACTACCAATAACATATAATAGTAACCAACTCCACACGCGCGGCACCAGCCAACTGCTTCGCTTTGACCTTTGTTCTCTCCACTAATACGTGTGTTTTTATTATACTTTTTCGAGCGTGTCATGAAGTAAATTTTATTTGAAAAAATATTAAAATAGTATTTTTATTTTTTAAATTTATTTTTTATATTAATTTATTAAAATAATTTTAAATAACATAATTTTTAAATTTTTAAAAAATAGTTAAACTGCAAGTCGAACTAGATACACACACCCTTCAGAATTACACAGCTCCAATGATTGGTTAGAAATTACATGGAAATGATCTGATTTTTTATTTATTTGATTTATGTAGGGTGTCCGGGTTAGCTTGCCCACACCACGACTAATTCTCACGGCCCGCTGAATACCCCGCAAACCCAATAGACATGTAAGGCACCACGGGGACGACAAGCATGTAATCCAGAACTCGAACCCAGGTGCAGTGGAAGGAGACAAGCCCCTTCCACCGCTAGGCCAAGCACTAGAATGCAAAAATGATCTGATTCTTCGTTGTATTTATCCGTGATATTGAAATGAGATACAAATATTCGAGGAGCACGTTATTAAAGTTTTATTCTCTTAAATTTTCAACCTTGATTGGTGCGTCAAATAATTTAAAAATATTTATTATTATCGGATAAAGAAACTCGTTATAGTAATTATTGTTAAATCTCTTTTTCATGTGAATGAAGTAATAATACAAGAAATATATTTTTATTTTAATATAGTTTGAAATAAAAATTAATCTTAAAATTTTTCATGCATCACAACGCGTGAAATAATTCTACCAAGTAAACTTGGCAGTCACCTTATGCATCCATGTGGAAGGAAATAAATATGCTAAGGAATAATAAATGAGTAAAATGAAAAGAAATAAATTCCCCTTTCCTGTACAGTACAATACGCCAACGTCGTCATGACCGTCACCTATTATTATTTTCTTGTTTCCAAAACAAAGCAGTCTTTGCCTCAGGCGCCCCATTTGGCTGTACTGTATTGCGAGGCACCCCCTTTCCCTTGAGACTTTTTTACCCCTTTTTGCTTTTCACAATAACGAAAAGGGTGATTATTTTATGTGAAAAGGGACCTAACTGCTTCTATAATTACACTATCATATATACACTCAATTCATTTGCATTTGCATTTGCATTAAGATAGAGTCTCATTTATTTAAAGTCTTAAACAAAGAGGTTAACAAAAATTAAACTTACTACAGCTTCCTATGTGGATCTCAATCTGATATATATATATATATATATATTTTGATTTTTTTTTTAAATTTAAAAAATATTATTTTAATATATTTTCAAGTAAAATATAATTTAAATAACAATTGCTATCATAAATTTTAAACTAAGTTATATATATATATATATATATTATTTAAATTATATTTTACTTGAAAATATATTAAAATAATATTTTTTAAATTTAAAAAAAAAATCAAAATTTTAAAAAATACAATTTATTCAGAACAATATTTATAAAAAAAAAAAAAAACGCGATTTTTAACTTTCACGCCAAACCTTTTCAATAAAGTCAACTCCAGGGGCACGCAAATCAATGGTGAAAGAGCGGGAGCCACATTATTAAGTATTCTATTGAATCCATACCGTCCATTTCGTGGTTGTCAGGAGGGTTCCAAGAGGACAGGTCGGAAAAGCGGATTTCCGTACATGGAATTGGGGAATTAGGAGTTCAGAAATTCCAAGTCTTTAAAAAATCAAATCAATCACGTTTTGGACTTGCTTAACAAAACTTGTATTTTTCTTGTGGTGAGGTCTTTGTAGTCCTGTGAGGGCCCATCTTAGCTTTTCGATTAGTTGAAGGGTGCCGACTACAAATATTTTTTTTATTTAATATGTATTTAATATTGTAGTCTATATTGTTTTAGTATTTTTTTTTTAAAAATATATTATTTAAAAAAATTACATCAACAAATAAAAATCATTAAAAAAACTAAAAATATATCAATTTAAAATTTTTTAAATAAAACATATTTTTAAAATACTTTCAATATCATAACTCAAAATTATTCCTCTTTATTTCACATTTGTTTTTATTTTTGGTTTCAGTATAAAAATTAATCATCATCTTGATTGAAGAATGGGTAGTGGACTGGGGATTAATTGGAAGCTTTGCTTGTTTTTTTGTTTTAAAATTATTTTAAAAAAATTAATTTTTTTTATTTTTTTATTTATTTTGAATAAATATTTTTTAATATTTTTAGATTATTTTAATATAATAATATTAAAAATTATTGTTAAAAAATAAAAAAATTATCTTAATACTTTTCCAAATAAAAATATTTTAAAACTTTAAACTCTTGTAAAAAGTCCAAAACAACTTTTTATTAGAAAAATTAGGTTTCTCCATCTATCTGATACAAGTCAACAAATCAACAAATTGACCCGTACAAATGGCTAGACTTCCATGTGAAATACTTTTGTAATATATAGAAAAATGCATCTTAATTTTCTTGAAATCTCACATGTATTATGACATTACATTACTCCCAGAGCTATGAATCAATCGTGAGAGGCGGTTCAATTGTTAGAGAATCGAATTAAGAATATCATGAAGTTTTAGGTATATGGAGAAATATTTTAATGATTTTGGAGGCAATAACCGAGTCGGGGGGGCGGGAAGGACCCAACCCCTGTAAAAAAATATTTATAATTCTAGTAGTAAATTAAATGGAATTTTAACTATTTTATAATAATTCTTTTAATTTATCCTTTTTATTTTTTTTTCTTGTTCCGTCCATGTTTTAGGGGTGTTTAGTAATGATTTTTTAGGGCGTGATAAACTTTATTGATCTAACTTGGTTCTTAAAATAACATTTTCAGTTTCAAAAATAACTTAAATATTTTATATCATGAGAAGGGAAGGGGAGATGCTTTCTCCTGGAGGGTGAATTTGACCTGTCAACGTTTGCTCTCCTGTATCTTGTTTGTCACCTTTCTTTCCTTTTTTTTTTTTTTTGTCTAAAATGCCAAATGGATTGGCAAAGAAACTGGCTCCTTTACAAAGAAGGTTTCCTCGGAGTGGAGAAGTGGAAACAAAAAAGGTTTGTGATGTTGTTTAGAGCTTGATTGCTCATCCCAAGAGAAGAACTAGGTCGACTCTGCATTAATAAGTTCTTCTTTCTCAAGTCCGTATATTACTGTTGCTGAGAAAGAGGGCAAAGTGCTAGAAATGGGTGAATGGCATGCCTCTGCATGGACATGGAAGTTTAAGTGGATAGTACAGTTGTAGGTTTGGGAACTGGTTCAAGAAACAGCCTCACTGAACTTAATTTCCAGTGTGCTTCTCTGTCAAGATACCGATGATGTATGGCTTTGGATTCATGATGCAACTGGAAACTCCTCTGTCAAGTCATGTTACTTTGTCTTGGACTTTTGGTTTTGCTGTGTAGTAGATTAATTTGTTCGGAAATCTTTGGTTTTGCCAAAGGTGTGAGCATTTGTTTGGTTAGCAGCTTTAGGAAAACTACAAACTAGAGATTTTTTTGGCTCTCGCTCTGGGTTAGATGATCAGCAAGTAAACGTGCATTCCTTTTGTAGCATCTGCCAAGAGATCGTGCCACATACCCTCCTCCACAGCCATGGGGATTGGCTGCTGTGGTCTCGAATTATCAGCTGGCGTGGTTTTTTTATGGGCATCCCCTTGCTCAGTGGATGGATTATTTCAGAGACATGCAGGAAAAGTTGTGATTCTGACTCCTCTTCACGGTTTTATGGTCCCTTTGACTGGGAAGGAATCGCTTGGGTGTAGACGTGTAGTAAACGGTATCATTTTAAATTGGGATGATATACACTCTCAAATAATAATTATTTTTATTTCAATATAATAAAATAATTTTAAAAAATAATATTATTTAAAAACATAAAAATAAAAAGCTATAACTAACTAGGATCTGAGACGTGCTGACCGCAGGCACCTTAAAATAGAATATTGATGGCTTTTATTTGAAAAAAAAATAGAATAGAAAATTATTATTAAGATTTATTTTTTTAAAAAAAATAGTTTTAATTATTTTAATACACTACTATTAAAAATTAAAAAAATTATTTCAACGCCATCTCAATCACGGACCAGTACAAGGCTAGCAGCTACTAGAGTAACAGTGGTGAAAAAAAAAAACTCCAAAGACCATCCAAATATATCTGTCTGACAAGTCAAAGGGAATTATCATTACTATCTTTGGGATACGCGCACTTAAAACTGAGACCCACTCTCATTTGTTATTTCTTTCGTTTTCTTTGCACCTACTTTCGAATGCCACCCTTACCCTCCCCATGACGCCTGGCATTCACGCTCTCGCTCACTGTTCTCGAACCAAAAGCGTGTACTGACTCCGGTTCTGGAGCTACGGTGTCAACTGTGGTGCGTCACATTTTTTTTTTTTTTATGAGTGGGTGCGTGCCATTAATGGGATTTAATTAAGATATAGGATTTAAATTGAGAAAGCACCACTACAAAAGGACGTCTTGGCTTTAAGTTGATTGATGAATGGTACATCATGTACATGTTTTCGTTGCTCTTCCTTCTAATCACCTTTTAACATTCAAAAAAAATCCCTAGATGAACATAAATCCATTAAAAAAAAATTAAAAAAATGAAGTTAATTAAAGCATTTGGGACGAAAAATCATAAATGATGTATTTATTGGAGCACCAAGT